GTGCCATCTATTGCTTCTTCAGTTCATTATATATTCAGCCTTGAAGCGTCTTTCATTTTTCAACTGTTCAATCTTTAGTCTTTGAAGAAATTAGTGAGACAGATAGGTTTTTTTCCCTTATTTTCTGTCAGATGAGGACACTGAGACCAAAATAAGCTAATTGGCTTGCCTATTTATGTACCAAAATGAGACAGATGGGGTAAAATACAGGCCTATACAGTCTCCTTCTTTTGTATCATTAATGCAATATATCATATAAATAGAAGGCCTGTTATGTGTTTCTGTATTAATATTAAGTATACAAATGTCTAGACAAGTGTAATTCCTTGTCCAGTAGAACTGACAGTCACTTAAGAGAGAATTGAAATTGGTCCTGTGATGACAATGACTTTTTTCACAGAAGTAACAAAGAGAAGTATGAATTTGGAGTGAGGTTGAGGACGGAAAGCTTTTTATTAAGTTATAACATTTCAGCTCAGATGTGAAAAATGAATAGGATTTAGCTATATAGAGGCTATTTATGGGAGACAAGAGGCCCTGGACAATGTCTAATAAATGACATTTTCAAAGTGAAACATGTCAGGTTTTATAAATTGAAGCAAAGATAGTTGCCTGGGGCCCAGAGCAATAGAATGGAAAGAGGCTGATCTCTCTCTCTCTCTCTCTCTTTATCCAAATGAATGTTAGTATATGCCGCTTGTTTGAACTATTTAAAGCAAAACTATATTTTATTATCTTAAGTCATATCAGTAAATATTTTGCAAGAGAATTAGAAAATAATATTTAGCGAAAACCACTTCTGATTCTAATATTCAGTGATAATCACTGTTAGTTTTTGATAAATTTCATTATACGCATCTCTAAAAGAATGTTTTATAGGAAAAAAAGTATGCATGTGCATTCTGTTTTGAATCCTTTTTATTCATGTGGTATCTATAATTCTTTTCCACATCCATAAATTTTCATCAATTGTATGATTTCTGAACAGTGTAGTACTGATATAAGAATATCAGAATAAATATTCTGGAAATGATGCTACTATAACAGTAAATATAAACATTACAATGTAAAGAAGAGATGTAATTTAATATTGATTTTGAGACTTTTACTAAGTACATGGAAATATATATTTTAATCTTGTATTCTTTCTTGTTTTATATCCCATATATTCCCAAAATTATGAATGATTGTTTATATATATTTGTATCTACAAAGTAGAATAAAATATATTGAAATACATATTGATATGAAACAGACATGAGTTTTTAAGTAAGAAAATTGTAGAAATAAGAAAAATGTTCCAATCATTCAAAGTGCATAATATATATGTTCTATTTCCTGACTTTAATGATATCATAAAGTGGGTAAAGCCACAACCTGCAATCCCAGCATCCCATGTGGGTTCCGGTTTGGCTGCTCCACTTCCCATCCAACTCTCTGCTATGGCCTGGGAAAGCAGTAGTAGATGGCCCGAGTCTTTGGGCCCCTGCACCCTGCACCCATATGGGAGACCTGGAAGAAGCTCCTGGCTCCTGGCTTTGGATTGGCATAATTCTGGCCTTTATGGCCCTCTGGGGAGTGAACTAGTGGATGGAAGACCTCTCTCTCTCTCTCTCTCTCTATCTCTATCTCTATCTCTCTGCCTCTGCCTCTCTGTGATTCTGCCTTTCAAATATAAATAAATCTTAATTAAAAAGTCATGAGTATGTAATATTCCTAGTAATGTTAAATTTTAACTGTCAATTAAGAAACAAAATCAAAACACCTAGAAATCCTGCTTCATCTGAATACCCGTCCACTGTGTTCTGTGGCACACAGCCAGTGATCAACAATCCAAAGGGTCCTTGTCTTCAGTGATGTTTCTCTTCATATCCTGCTACACAAAATCAAGCTCACTTCTCATATTGTAAATTTTCTTGTATTCTCATGAGGAATGAGGCTTTTCTCCCCTAGACCCCATAATCCACATTTTCTGGAGGTGGAGCAAGGTCCCTTCCCTTTCCTTATTTCTGTTTCTAGGTCATTGTCTTTTCCCTTTCTTTAAAGATGTCATTCATATAACTATGTGCTATCCTTTCTGTCATTATTGGTCCTCTTTCCTAATCTGCAACAGCCTCTGTTTGCACTCTCAGATGATGATCCTGATTATTACTAAACAAAGGAAGGCCGGTGTTGTGGCTCAATAGGCTAAGCCTCTGCCTGTGGCGCCGGCACCCCGGGTTCTAGTCCCGGTTGGGGCGCCAGATTCTGTCCTGGTTGCCCCTCTTCCAGGCCAGGTCTCTGCTGTGGCCCGGGAGTGCAGTGGAGGATGGCCCAAGTGCTTGGGTCCTGCACCCTCATGGGAGACCAGGAGAAGGTGCCTGGCTCCTGGCTTTGGATCAGCGCGGTACACCAGCCGCCACTTGGGGGGGTGAACCAACAGAAAAGGAAGACCTTTCTCTGTCTCTCTCTCTCACTGTCCACTCTGCCTGTCAAAAAAATAAAATAAAAAAAGGAAAATTATAGCAATTTGAAAACAACTTCCACAGCTTTTCATGCTACATCCTTCATCTGTGATCATATATACCAGGGCATTTAGGGCCCATAGACCCAGCTATGAAGTAAATTCTATCCACATCACCTTTTCCGGAACACTTTTAAACCAATTCATTCATGCATTCATTCTCATTCTCTCTCCCTCTCTCTCCCCATCCCCACCTCAGTCTTCTCTTCCTCTTTTTCATCTCTTTCTCTCTATGTTCTATAATCAGTTTCTACTTCTCCACCAGTGTAAAATACATTATTAGATATTCCACCTTAGATAGAAAACCAAATAAAAAGTATTTCTTGATCACAACTTCTCTTTCGGTGATCAGCCTGTTTTTCTTTTCTACCAGAGTGAAAAAAATTTTATAAGTTATCTATGCTGCCTTCACTTTCTGCCTTCAATTAAAATTCCCCTCACTTATGTATCAGGTCTCTGGCTTACATAATATTGAGGTCCTGACCAATATTTAGTCTTTGTTTTATTTTACTTGTCAGCAGCATGTGATTGAGTTGATTGCATTTTTACTTGAAATGCTTTTTCCTCTTAGCTGTACAGCCACCTGGATTTCCTATTCTCTATCTGGTTGCTCATTCTGTGTCCCCTCTGTTTATTTATATAAGATATTTTAAAGTATTTAAATACATTGATTTGTATTAGAAAGAGTGATTAGTGGGCAGAGGAAGAGATCTCCCAACTACTGTTTCACTCCCCAAGTGCCCAAAACAGTCAGGACTAGGCCAAGACAAAACCACAAGTCAGTATCTCAGTCTTCTATTTGGGTGTCAGGGACTCAACTAATTCAGCCGTCACCTGCTGCCTCCCAGGAAGTACAGTAGCAGGAAGCTGTAATCTGGAGTAGAGATGAGACTTGAACCCAAGCACTCTGCTATAGAACGAAAGCATCCCAAGTGGAGTCTTAAGTGTTGCACCAAACGCTCATCCCAAAGTATGTTTCATTGAAGAAATAATTCATGTTATATTTTTAATCACTTAGGAAGAAAATTTAAAAATTGAATTTTAATTTTACTATAATCTGATGTATAACAACATTTGTATTCTTTAAACATAAATGCCCCAAATTGTGTCTTATTACTTTCATTTAAGAAATTAACTTTAGAACATCAGTAAGATTGAAATATTATAGAAGTTTTGAAAAGGAAGTTGGTAATTTCCAACAATATGTGTTTCAACATATTCTTGTCATGTGACAAATTTTACCATTTACATACATGCTGATTCCAAAGGCTGTAGGAAAACATATTGTCTGTGTGCATGTTTTTTTTTTTTTTTTGGACAGGCAAAGTTAGACAGTGAGAGAAAGAAAGAGAGAAAGGCAGAGTTAGTGAGTGAGAGAGAGAGACAGAGACAAATGTCTTCCTTCCATTGGTTCACCCCCAAAATGGCCACTGCAGCCATTGCTGTGCCGATCCGAAGCCAGGAGCCAGGTGCTTCCTCCTGGTCTCCTATGTGGGTGCAGGGCCCAAGCACCTGGGCCATCCTCCACCGCCTTACCTGGCCACAGAGGAGAGCTAGACTGGAAGAGGAGCTAGCGGGACAGTATCCGGTGCCCCAACCAGGACTAGAACCCGGGGTGCCGGCGCCACAGGCAGAGGATTAGCTAAGTGAGCCGCGGTGCCTGCCAATCTGTTTTTTAATATTCTTTTAAGATCTAACCATTCTTATTATTTTGCCATACTCACTAAATATGTAAATATTATATACTTACACATGCATGCTATTTGTCTTTAAAGGAGAGATATGAATACCACCCAAGACAGGCTTTATAAGAAGGATACTAAAGTAAGAAAAGAAGGGGTTATTATTATATAGAGTATATAATTCAGTGAAGACATTTAAACTACATACCAAATAATTTATCATCCATACTATTTGTATATTCTAATTAACTCCCATGTATGAGATAGACATGAAATTTGTCTTTCTGTGTCAGGCATATTTCATTTAGCTTAATGATCATTGATTCCATCCATTTTGCTCCAAATGTCAGTTTTCACTCATTTTTGTGGTTGAGAAGTATTCCATCATGTGTGTGCGCTTGTGTTTGTATCACATTTTCCTTATTTAGTCATCAGTTGATGAGCATCTGGGTTGATTACGTATCTTTTAGTGTGCCAAGAAGCAGTTCTTGGACTTCTAATTTTAATCCAAGTAAACCACTGGGATGAATGTATGCTGTCTCAGGGTCTTAAAGATCACTTTTACATTGATGATGCAAAAATGTTCCTCTCTATCCTATATTCCTGTCTTTTCTTGCATATCTGAATGCATGTCAAAAATTTTGCTCTTCTTCACAGAAACTACTATGTCTTCTTCCTATCTCTAATAGCAGCTCTCTCCTTGCAGTTGCTTGAGCCATTTGATTGGCTAACAAATTCTAAAATCCCTACCTTCAAAAATATGTCTCCACTTTACCATAACCACACGGACATATTCTCCACTGTAGATTTTTTACCTGCTTTTATGGAATCCAGTCCTAAAGATTAGACAAAAGTTTGTCTGCACAGACTGTCTATCACCCTGCACGGACTGGCCAGGCTCTTGGCAAGCATGAAGTCTCTGGTGTCTAATAAGCTCTGAGCTCCACCTGTAGGCCTTCCCGCATCCTTTACAAACTAATGGCTTCTCTCCACTGTAAATCCTCAGATGCTGACTGAGATAGGAGCTCTGGTTGAAGGCCTCCCTGCACTTCTTACACTCACAGGGCTTCTCTCCAGAGTGGATCCTCCGGTGCTGAACAAGAGGAGAACCCCACCTCAAGGGCTTCCCGGCTTCCTGCACTCCTTACATTCGTGAGGTTTCTCCCCTGTGTGCATTCTCTGGTGCTGAATGAGGTTTGAGCTCTGGTTGAACGTTTTCCCACAGTCACTGCATTTATAGGGCTTCTCTCCAGAATGGATCCGCTGGTGGATTGCAAGGTGTGAGTTATAAATGGAGGCTTTACCGCATTCATTACATTCATGGTCTTTCTTCCCTGGGGGAGTTTTCTTGTGGGTGACAACCATCTGCCTCAAACTCGCTCCCTGGGCAGGGGACTGCCTCGGTCTCCCCGCTTTGGGATTTCTCTGCTGCTGTTCTAGGGTGCCTTCGACTTGAGAGGTAGCTTCGAATGCAGAGGTGAAGGTGGAGGTGGCAAGTGTTTCTGAGGACGCCTGCGACTCCGCTTCAGTACTGGGTGGCTCTGGCAATGCACTTTTGTCCTTGGGCTCTGCATTTGTTCTTAACACTTTACGGTTTATTTTCAAAACAGAAGGCAAGGAGAGTTTTAGTATGCAAATTAGATAAAATCAATCCTCAGTGCATTACTATCTCACTTAGAAATTAAGATACAAGTCCATCCAGTATCCTAGAAATCTCCACATGGCTGCTATCTGGGATCACCTGCTCGGGTCTCTTCTCTGGTTACCCCCTACTTTCTACATCCTGCTCCCAGGTTCACAGGTGCAGAATCGCACTTGGAGTTCCTGCTGCCCGAAAGGTGAAGTCTAAAGGAAACTGATAAACTCAATAACCATTTTTATTTATATTGTACATGTTGTATGAGATAAGATTAAATCAAACTGTATATTTCCCTTTTTTAAGTACAAAGGTGTTAAAACCATCACTCTTGACTAAATTTAGAACTTTTTATTGTGCTGGAAAGAGACTCCATCACTATTAGCAGTTATTTTTCATTTCTTTTTCATTCTGCCCCAGCCCCTGACAACAAGTCATTTACTTATTATCCATATGGATTTGTATATTATGGACATTATATGTAAATAAAATCATACCATATATGTAGATACTCATGTTTGCTTTTGTCATTTGGTGTAATGTTTACATAGTAAACTTTGTAGTAGAATTTCATTCCTTTTTAAGGCTGACTAGTAATATATCATGTGGACTTATCATGTCTTTTTTAAAAAGATTTATTTATTTATTTGAAAGTCAAAATTACAGAGAGAGGAGGAGAGATGAGAGAGAGAGAGAGAATCTTCTATCCACTAGTCCACTCCCCAAATGGCAACAACAGCCAAGGCTGAGCCATTCCAAAGCCAGGAGCCAAGAGCTTCCTCCAGGTCTCTCACATGCATGAAGGGGCCCAAGCACTTGGACCATCTTTCATTGCTTTCCCAGGTGCATTAGCAGGGAGTCTGTTAGGAAGTGGAGCAGGCAGGATTCAAAACAGCACCCATATGGGATGCAAACATTGGCTTAACCTACACCACCACAGCTCTAGCCTCATTCATACTTTTATTCATTTATCAATTAGTGGGAATTTACATTGTTTCTACTTTTTGCTTATTAATAATACTTCTTAAATGCTTTTGTGTCGACAACTGTTTCCAGTACTTTGGTATACACATAATAGTTCTTGATCATTTGAAACCTCTATACTTTGGAGGAATTGCCAGACTGGTTTCCCAGAGAGCAGCACCATTTAAATTTCTCCCAACAATGTTTGAGGAATATGTAAAGAACTCTTACCTTTACATCAAGTTGAAACAATAAAAGGGATAAGTAACTCAATTTAAAAATGAGTCAATAATTTGATTAGTTATATGACCAAAGAAATTATACAAAAAGCCTATAAAATATGAAGAGATATTAAACATAATCAGTCGTTATGAAAATATAAAAACCAGAATGTGATACTACTTCATCCAATAGCATACGTATAATTTTAAAAGATGAATAATAATAATACTTCATGAAAATATAGAGAAATTTGAACACCTCTTTTTTTTAAGAACTTTACTCAAATATTTCCTTCTTAACAAGATTTTCCTATTTTCTTACAAATTTCCAATTTTTATGGACTAAAATACACAGAACTAGCAGTCTTTCTTCCATGTTTATTTTTTACTTCTCTACTTAGTGCCTATTATCATTTGTGTCACTCAGGATTCTCCAGAGATACAGAAACAATTGGATAGACACATAGCAGGGAAGGAGAAGGGGGAGAGAGGAAGAGAGAGAGGGAGAGATGGTATAAGATGTTGAGTTTCAATTGTGAAGGGTTGGTAGGTCTGATATTGAAGCAAGGACTAGAGCAGTGTCAACATCATAGCCCAGCCATGCTGAGACATAAAATTATCCATTACATCATTTTACTTATTTTATCTTGTTTCCTTTGTCCTTGATTAGAATATAACATAAGAAGCAGAGGGACAGTATCTTAAAGTAAATTTTATCTATGTTGAATCCCCAGAGCCCGTAATGGTATCTGGCACATGGTAGATATTCAGTAATGAAGGAGTAATTAAAAGAAGAAATAGTATTTTTACTAACTGTGTTTACTAGCTTAATCAGTGATACAAGTTATCCTGTAAAGGGTAAGAATGAAATGAATGCTTACTTCCATGAGCATATGAAATGAAGCATTTCTTTAAATTACTCTCACAAAAGAATCATGGATTTATGGACTCTGAGCTTCAATGTTTCAAGACTGCTATTTTCAGCCTTCACTAAGAAGGACAAATTTTAGTACACACTACCACGTTTATGTATACAGTATCAATTTGAGTGAAAAATGAAAACATAGCAGATGAGCAGATATTTAGACAAATTATGCTTAGTCTACATGTTTCAAAATTCATGTGTAGTTGCAATTATATCACATTTCTATCTATTTACCTTGGAGAGTGTTTCTTGTGTAACCAACCACCTGGTATGATACAAAAGCTGTGGCCAGCAGCATAGCTTCATCTGCAGTCTTCACATGAGAAAACTGGCCAAAATGTTTTGATTTTTTATTTTTGATGGTCAGGTTCAATTCCACTGACTACATCTCTCTGTGCAACATTATTTTCCTCTGAGTCATGCTCAATTGCACCCAGCAAAGGTATCTAATTGATAATCTGTGAGACAGCAACCTACTGACAGAGTAGCCTAACATTTCTGAGTGTTAATGAAAGAGTCATCAGCCAGTCTCTAGATAAGGTAAACAGGAGCCAAGGAATGCTGTCAAAAAATTTTCTATGTAAGCCAACAAACAAACAAAAAGACAATGTTTTATGTTTGTAATGATTTGCTATTTATTCATTGTTATACATTAAACTGAAAAAATCTTACATGGAGGGTTTTTTTTTTTTTTTTCCAGTATGCTGAGTATATGGTGTAACAATTGGAGCTGCCAAGAAAGAAAATAATAAGAAAGCCATTTCCTTGCTTGTGAAATCATAGCTGCAACATCTGTTTACTTCACCTGCTGAAGACAACTCGCCAGCCTGTACTTTATTGTTAACAAGGCTGAATACTTTGAACACACTTCTCTAGTCACCCAACCTGCAAATCAAGTACATCAGCCAAGTAATTATTGCATTATGCTTTTTACACAGGCATAAATCACATACAAAAGAGTTGTAATGCTGAACAACAAAACAGTAATATATGTTTCATCATTAATGCCTGAAACAACACAATGTAAACCAGTAATGCTGAAGTTGGAAGAGATTCATAGCCATTATGATGAGGTGACCTCGGGACTATGAATGAAAATCAGACTGGAAAGTAATAGCATTTTATGGATACTCTCTCTTTCATAACTTGTTTCTTTCTTTTATACTTTGTACCCATTTGATACAATGGCCATATAATTTTCTACAGTGAATTTTAAAAACACCCACCAATGAGAGTCATTGCCAACAATCCATCTATCCACCTCTCAATCAATCATACTCCTATCCTATAAATAATGATATGCAATATCATGAAAAAATGGAGTTGAAGAAATTTATATTGATGCAAATAATTGAAATTCATATATAGTTTTTCATCACACATATGCATATTACATGAACTTTTCAAAGACCTTTCACATTCATGGAGTGAATTTATTTTATATGAGAATAAACTTATCTTAATTTCATTTCCATGAACTTTTTGAAGTTCTCTCCAATAAATATATATGTATATATGCACACACATGTTTGTGGATTCAAGTTGCAATTACAGATGTACTCCATGCTCAATGCAAAAGCATTCAAAAGACAAAATATATAAGGTAAGAAGCAAACATAGTACCAAAGAGAACCAAATGCTAAACATAGTACCAAAAAGAACCAAACGCTAAACACACCATTTTTTTTTTCTACTTTAGGTCTTTTTTTCTTTTTCTGAAGATTTTCCTTAATAATTTTTCAGACTGTAAATTCATATTTTTTTATTTTCTCTTTTCATTTCTCCCTATCTATGATGGAGTCTTCGCTAGGCATTTGATCTTCCAGATAAATGATTCTGCTCTTTAAATTTCTGCTCACCTAAATTAATAACTTCTATTTTCATAAATCCCCCATCTAGGGATGCATTATTATTACAATTTTTAGATATTGTATTACTTAACTCTTATTAAATATATTTGTAAATTTAGTAAAATAACATTTTCCTGATATTTGCCTATGTTTTTGTTTTGTATTTTATACTTTCTCTCATTATTTCCAACTCCAAAATTCTCTTTGAACACATGATTTGTTTTAGGCCCTTGTCTTAAGGTAGAATTTTTTCAGAATTAAAACAAATAAGTTTGCAAAAATGTTTCCTAGACTTGAAATTTAGCATAGTGATTTTCAGAACTGCCTGCATGCCAGTTCATTAAGTCTTTTTATTTTGAGTAATTTATAAATAAATTACAAATAAAATGAGTTTACTCAAGCCCAGGTAATGGAATTTTGTTAAAAGAAAATTGGTGAAAATGTTAACAATGTCAGTTTGAAAGCTTTGTGTGTGTAGTAGAATTGGGATATCCTGTCTGCTTCATGAGAAAAAAGTAAGCAATCCTACACATTAGAGGAAAATATTTGAAACTTTGTACAATACAGAAGAATAAAAAAGTGCCAACCATATTTTGACTAACTTTTTTTTTTTCTTTTTGAGAGAGAGAAAGAGAGGGAGAGAGAGAGAGAGAAGCTGACTCCCTAAATACTGAAGCAACCAGGGCTGGACCAGGCCGAATTTATGAAATCAGAAATCAATCGAGTCTTTCATATGGGTGACCGGTGGCAGAGATTAAAGTACCTGAACCATCACTGCTACCTCCCAGGGTGCCCATTAACTGGAAGCTGCAATGGAGAGCAGAGAAGGGACCCAAGCCAGGCACTCTGAAAAATGGTGTGGGCATCTCAAACACCTTCCTGACTGCTCTACCAAATACCACCCCTTTTAAAACTAATTCAATAGGCGCTGGCACCATGGCTCACTTGGTTAATCCTCCCCCTGTGGTACCGGCATCCCATATTGGCGTCG